GGGGGGGGGGTCTGTATTGAAAAATCAATTCCAAGGGGGCGGGAAAAATCAATTCGAGGGGGGGGGTGGGGGGGGTCTGAATTGAGCGATCAATTATTAGACCCGGACGTCCCAACACTAGCTTCGCAAGACAAACTCAAGGTATCCCCTAAAGGGCTACCTTTCGTGACTTTGAACAGGGAGCGCAAAGACAGAGGGGCAAAATGGGACAAGAGCACGCACTTGCAGTTTTGCTCGGCCCAAGACCCCGAACTGTTGGATGGGCTACTGCTGCTACGGTAGAACAATGCTGATTCCAACGCAGTGCAGCTTTCCTTTAAGATGAACTTAGACTTAGATGCAATGCTATACATCAGGAGAGCACAGGATGCTGGAATCCCTGCAATGCCAGTAATTGTCATATACATACTTACATACACACATATAGTCACACATATATATATATAATATGTACTAAGGCCCATGGCTCTTAGGTTGGAGGCCATCGCTAAGGTGGAGAGTCGACAGTTTTGGAATGGTTTTTGGATGCTTTTGGTGTGTGGATTGAATGAGGTTGACATGTGTGCAGCTATGGTTGGGAGAGCGCCCCGCCCTTGGAACTACCAGGGATTTGTTCGGTGATGTACAGTGCCTGCGATATGGATTTCATGTTTAAGATCTGTATGGAGTAATTTTGCAGTGTTTGATTTTGAGGCCTAAGCAGAGTTTAAAGCGCGCACTCTTTTTGAACAGATGTGTATAGGAAGGTATTGTTGTGTTTCCTGGAATGTCTCGGGCTTCACCGACAGCTTGACGCCACCAGCTCCACCATGCTTCACCGCTTCGCTGCTTCAAAGACGGGCTCAGGGAAGCCAGGTGGATTTTGCGTCGGTTTTGTTTTTTTTTGTTTTTTTGCATGCATATAGCAGTTGTGTTTTTGTCTATTTATTTGTTCGATGAACCGCATAATGGAAGCGCTAACGGTTACGTACTTAAAGTTTTACATGTTCCATCCCAAAGTTGCGGCCATGCTTTGCCTGAAAGGGGGCTGCTTCCGAGCACTACATGTGGACAAGGATTCAGTGTCGGCAATGTGGGATCGACAAACATCCACAAGATGTTGAGACTTGTTCAGATGAAAGCTGGCTACATATACACATCGCTCCACGCTCTAATGAAGCTCAGCATGTGACATGTCCCTGTTGCAAAATTGCTGCTCATCAGCAAGCGTAGTGAGCCCATTTTGTGTTGGGTGTTCCCTTTTGAAAAAAACAAGATGGGGCCCACGAACCCGAATGCAAACACGTTCGAAAAGCTACATATGTCCAAATGACACTCTTGTGGGACACTCTTGTGGGTCACTCTTGCAGGAAACTCTTGCGGGACACTCTTACGGGACACTCTTGTGGGACACTCTTGTGGGACACTCTTCTGGGACAGTCTTGTGGGACACTCTTGTGGGACACTCTAGTAGGAAACTCTTGTGGGACACTCTTACGGGACACTCTTGTGGGACACTCTTACGGGACACTCTTGTAGGACACTCTTGTGGGACACACTTGTGAGACACTCTTGTGGGACACTGTTGCGGGACACTCTTGTGGGACACTGTTGCGGGACACTCTTGTGGGACACTCTTGTGGCACAATGTTGTAGGAGGCTCTTGTGGGGGAGACTCTTGTAGGACACTTGTGGGACACTCTTGTAGGAAACTCTTGTGGGATACGCTTGTAGGACACTCTTGTGGGACGCTCTTGTAGGAAACTCTTGTGGGACACTCTTGTAGGGCAATCTTGTGGGACGCTCTTGTGGGACACTCTTGTAGGACACTCTTGTGGGACACTCTTGTAGGACACTCTTGTGGTACACTCTTATAGGACACTCTTGTGGGACACTCTTGTGGGGCGCTCTTGTGAGACACTCTTGTGGGACACGGTTGCGGGACACTCTTGTGCTTACGGGACACTTTTGTAGGACACTCTTGTGGGACACTCTTGTAGGACAGTCTTGCGGGACACTCTTACGGGACACT